TAAACCGCGGTCAGCATTGTGTGATATACTCCAATTTTAAATCACAAATTTGATAAAAAAGATTTCCTTGCACGACATATGTTTCAACTCGCCTACTAACGCGCGTCATGAAAAACCGATTTGGCTATTCTGAATAAATAGCACTCAGGTCTGATTTCTTAAAACCTTGATTAGTCATGGATAAACACAAAAGGGTGGATACACAATGCATGTACTGACTTGTGTGAAACAAATTTGCTCTGACAATTTCGTTTCTTTTATCAGTCGCTAGGTAAAGGAATTACGATGATTTTACTCCTAAATATTCCATCTCACGAGCAGATATTTTCAAAACATGATCCGTTTGGGGCTAAACAAGGATTGAAGATCATGTCTCAAAAGCCGATTGTTTATTCCCGATTATCATGCCTATCCTCCTCTTTTCTTTGGTTTACACACCAAGTGAAAAATGTCGATCGATGTGTTTAAACATATTCAAAAATGTGGGGTAACCAAAGCGTGTTGCATGGATTCCAGTTGTTTGTCCATGAGAAACACCAAACTAAAACAAGCTACGTTTCACATGAAAATAACCAAATTTCCAATCGATGACAGAGGTTATCTTAACGAAATCAAATCTAGTCTGATGTCGGTTCAATGACAACTAAGTAACTGTGTATGCCTCGAATAAAAAGATATCGTTTCCGCGTTTATCAATTTGCTACTTGCATCACGGTTATCAAAAATGTTTGCAAGACCGATTCTCACCGCGGACACACAAAAATGTATCATAACAATGTGCCCCAAAAAAGAAATATTTAAAATCCCTGTTAGAATAACATAAAAGGTCATCTAGTGTTTTTTTTCATAATCGGACGATTCAATCGAGCTTCATGCAGTGGCAATACATAGAGCAACCGTAAGACACATATGATTGGGTCGATCATTCGCCAAATGTTTCCGACAATTCCGATAATAAATTTTCCATTGGGAAACAATTAAATATAAGCAATTACCTGATTAAGTTTCTCCGTGTTACGTTTCTTCTGTTTCCTGAGCGGAATATTGTGCAAAATAGCAAATGATTTCCGTCGTTTGAAACTATAATTGCTTGGATCCGGTTCATCCACATCACTGCTAGTTTTGGTCGATAGGGAGGAAGAGGTGGAGGAATTGGACGACGAGGTGGAGGGGGACGATGAAGCAGGCGAGTACGGGGGCTCACACACGGAAGACGCGGTTACTGAGCCAAGGGTAAAGTTACGACTGGACTGATGTTTTCCCATACGTCCTGGCGATCTCGTACACATGGATTTCATGGTTGTGTTGTCGTTGGACTCCGTCACCCGCTGACCCGGTGATTTGGTGAAGTGGCATCGCCCGGTTGAAGTTCTCCTTCGTTCCTTTGTCAAGCCAGTTGCTCTATTCGACGAGAGCAATCGGAAAGCTTGAAGTAGGCCAGAGAGAAACCGGATCATAGTGGAGCCTTTGTTTTGCACCGGAAATGATTCCACGTTGCCACGGGGTGGAGAACGCACGACGCCGCAACTTTTGTAGCTTTGAATATTGGGCGAGGCCTCGACATCGATACCGCTTGAGCTGAAATCCTAGAATGAACCATATCACAGTGATAGAGATGATTTGATGACATCAACGATACAAAGGAAGATCAGTTACTGTGACCTCTATCATTCACTCCATCACAGTAGCACAGTTTCATCGACCACATGTTTTCGTTTGATTACAAGTCGGTTGGAAAAAATAACAGACAGCGTAGTTCGCATAGAGTGCTCTTTAAAGAATTGAATAGATAAATACATGTGTTCAGTTGACATTGCTCACAATTACCGGTGATGTTGATTCTAAACGAAGAATTTACGTTATTCCATAGTACGCACCCATATATGTGGACGGATCGCGTCGATACTGTCAAGGTCACACTGCACATTTTAACTGTTTTTTTAATCTCCGTTGTTAATCATATTTCGAATTGTCAGACGATTTGGATTAAGATAATACTGCTCTGCAGATTTGCAAGAGTACGCGATACTCGCGGACCGTGGTATACCACAGGTCATCGATTATGCCTATTAGCAGGTTCGACGGGTCGGCAGTAGGTAAATATGTCTTTCAGAAATAAGCGATCGTAGATACGTAGGAGCTGTGTCTGAGTATATGGCAAGTAGTTTCCGCATAACAAAGATTATAGTGTTGGAAATGCAAGGAATTGTCTGCATCTAGACAAACATTAAAAAATACTTCGATCCTGATACGTTTGTGAGAGGTTTTGATTATCCTTGAAGAAGAACGACCGGTGGCCTGCCATCCAGTAACATACTTTCAAGAATCGTTATGGTTTCCGCCACGAAATCAAAATACCCATAGACATAATAGCATACTGTCCGAAAGTATAAGAATATCACTCCTGCAACAACAATATTCTTTAGGAATTCCAAAGTTTCATCAGCCTTGCAGTTTGTGGAGAATCGTAGTTTAACAGACACTGACAACAAAGCCCTTTGTTATAGCAAATGAATAAGGAAGTGGGAAATTGCTTATGGATGTTCTCATATCGAACTAAATCAGTTCGCCCTCTTTCATGGAATTACTGTGAATCAGTTTGTTCGTGACACACATGCGCAATCAACAGATCACACACACACACACACACACCAACTTGGTAGATTTCACCAGACAGGGATATTTCAACTCTGACCTTGGGAGAATCGGGCCAATCAGAACATGTCAACTGAGGTACACGGTTAAAGGTAGCCTTTGTTATTTGAACAAGACAAAACGAAATGACCATTGGTGATCATGTTGTAACGACTTTGGTATTTAGCTCGGAGCTCTCGGTTTTTTATACAGAAAAAAAATCCGGTTAATGGGATATTATTGATCGTTGTTGCTGGCAATCGACTCAAATAACTGCGATGCTTATATTGTTACGATTTGGTTTCCATTCAAATGATAAGGTTGCTCGTACCCGACAGATGTACCACCGGTTCCAGTTAATGACCGAACTCATTATCCTCTGCCCTCAATACAAGTCAAATAAACGTGTTGAGAGATTGTGTAGCTAGAATAATGTGAAAAAGGAATCGATTTTCGGGTTGTAGGATACACCTGATTGAATGCGTTGGAAATGACATTGATCTTTCTTTTCGCCTCCAGGCTTGTTTGTAACGTGCCAAACATTCAACATGATGCAATACAATTCAGTCTCAGGTTTGCCCATCTCAGATACAACAAATCCGCAGCTTGGAGGTACGGATTTCCACATCCATTCGCAAAGCGATAACTCAGAATTTTGGACATCCTATTTAAGGCAGAGGTGTTATCCAATTAATAGAATTGATCTACGAGAACTCGTTCCGTCACCAAATTATTATGATGGTTTACTTTGATTAGACCCGTTGCTTACTATTAGGTCGCACAGAACTATATCCCAGATGAATAGCACCAGTGCAAAGAACACAAGATATAGCACAGCAACAATAGTAGCACACGGGGAACGCGGGATAGCTATCTAGGCGAAACACAGGATTTACGGTCGGCTATCGATCTTTCAGGCCTCCCAAAACACGGGAAAGAAGACACGGCTTCAGCAGCAATGTGTTTTAATGGTGTTCTGCACAAGTTACAAGTCACGAGTCAATTTACAAGTTTGGCTCTGTTGCTAATATGATATTGAAAATAACATTGAACAACGTACGAAAACGAATGTATCAATGAAATAAACAGTGAGAAACGTGCAACTGGCCATAGGTTAAGGACCAGACGGACAGCGAGAGTGAATATTGCTGTACGACGCAATATTATTGATTTATCTCCACGAGTTTAGTATTGATCCGAGATGACTTTAATTTGAGTCGAATGTGTTATGAAATTGTTTGATTTTGTTCACAGAATTAGCAAGTGCACAGCCGAGCTTATCTGGGGACGGATGAAATTGTTCTTTGTTCAAACACCTTCCCACTTATGTTGGCCACCTGTAATGTTGGTAACGGGGATCTGCTTCCATTCTTCTGGTTGGTCTTTGTGGCCGACTGGACTTTGTTCTTAGTACCAAGCATGCTGCCTCGATTGGTATTTCAGTATTCCTGATTGGAATGTCAAAAGTATCCAGAAGAATATCCAGGGGAACTGCTTTTCGTTCAACTTAGCAAGATTGGTGATATCTGAGAGTGCTATTGGTTCTTGTGCCATACCCATGTGTCTTGCCCGATGTGCACTTCATTAATCACTTTGCCATTTCGCTGTTTAATGTTTTCTTCTTCCCATGGTTCGCGATCTGGACGATAACCCTTGGCATATACAGCAGCATTCAGGGGCCACCTTGCTTACTTCCATTGTTTCTTTTGGATTTAACTGATCTGTCTAAGGGTAACATTATATCGTGGACTGTTTGCAATTTACGGCTCACTAGCGCTTCTTCAGGGGTCTGGCCATTTGTTGTTGACTCATTCGAAGTTGAACGATATGCTAAAGTGAAATCGTTGCAGAACATCATCTGTAGTCTCCTCCCCTCGAAGCTTCAAAAGGGTTGTTTTGAAATTATCCACGAATCGCTCTACCTGACCGTTGAATTGTGGGTGATACGGTGGAGTTCGAATGTCTTGGACGTGTCAGAAATCCGGGAAAACAGCCGAAGTGAACTGGGTACCATTGTCCAACAGAATCACTTCGAATAGGCCATGTTTGGCGAGAACGTGGCGCGGACAAGAGACGGTATTGTCAGCAGTGGGGGAGGAAATGGCATAGATCTCAGGCCACTTGGTGTAGACGTCTACTATGATTAGGTAGTAGATATCGTTTGATGGTCCTGCATTGTCAATGTGTAGTCGCTCCCATGGATCTGTAGGTGCTGGCCACGCAACTGGCTGTTCTTTTGGTGGAAGTTTGGCTGCCTGTTGGCATTGAGAACATTGCCGAACAATGGTTTCTGTGTCTCTGTCCTTGAAGGGCCAGATTCATGCTTTATGTCCTCTGCAGTAAGGTGAATTCCCCTGATAGTGTTGTCCAGTGCCCGACGTGTGCAAGCGTCCGACGTGATAGCCGAAATCACCATGTCTTCTGGGGTGGAAGACTGGTTTTGCTGATGTCGTGATAATCCATACGCTTTCATATATTCCTACGTGTGATGGAATTATGGTTGAGCGTCAGGTCGAAGTTATAATGAGACCTGAGCACGGGTTCATAGTTCCAGTCCGTCTTGCTAAACCTCCGGAAACTGATCTGTGATTTGTTTCTCCATCGGTGTGTCTGAGAAAGAGACCGTTTTACATATTGCGATCAGTG